CCCCCCCCCCCTTGACAGAGCTAATTAGCAGGCCCGTCATCCTGTCTCTCTTTATAACGAGACCCTAAGGCTGATTCTGCTGGCAGCGCCTCATTCACGCACTCCCTAAAAATCACCTGATCATCACAGGACGATTTTAGCATGGAAAAAAAAGAACGACTCTAAATTAAATGTTTAATATATATATTTTTTGTCTGTGCATGCATTTAATCTGTTTCTGCAGCCCGCCTTGTGTGCAGTGGTACCTTCGCGATCGGGGTTAAACTAGCAGCCACGTGACCTGTTGCGTTATGGACGCCTGTGAAGTTCTACCGGCCATTAGTATCATTATCTGAAATCTGCTCTTCAGACACACAGGGTCAATAGCGGGACCAAGCTGCGGAATCAGAGCTGCGTTTTGGGCTTCTCCTTAATGTCCTGCCTCTCCCTCCGTGTTGCTCGTTGGCTTCACACCCTCACAGCAGAACTCTGTCACGTCTCCAGCACAAGTTACGACGGCATTCCTGTCACAACGCTGACCTCCGTTCATTCCCACACAGCGCCCCTGGGCTCTCTCTGGTCATTTAGAGCCATAATCACGTCGCAGTTTTATAACACGATTAACATCTGAGATTAAGCGGAGACATTATGCAATGAAATATCATACTTTTTTATATTTCTGTCATAGATCGGAACATTTTTTCATGCCAAAGAGAAATAAAAATGAAGATAGTTCATAATCATTCATATCGGGTTGGACAAACATGTCCAGTGATTGATTATTTCAGGTTAAATGGATTTCAATAACTACGGCCTATCTGATAAGACCTACATGTGCCTTTTGACAGATATACAGTACTGTGCAAAAGTCTGAGGCAGTCAAACGAAATGTTTAAAGCTCTTTATCTGAATAATTAGTGTACATGTCCTTAGGAAAAAAATACAATTTAACATTAAGAGTAACACAACAAAAACTAACAATTTCTTCTCTTCTACCAAAAGTTACTGATATCTTGCTGGATGGCTAGATGAACAGCACTTCAGTTCCCACACCTCTCCTCGGGGTCACCCCAGCCATTCCATGCATTTGTTGAATTTCACTAGTTCTCTTAATTAATTAACTTAGTTAAATAACTCAATGAGGTACCGATTAGTCATCTAAGGTGTGCTACCAGTCAAAAATACATGGATGTATTGGATGGTTACTACAAACACTGGGGTGACTGGGAGAGGTTCTGAAATGGACACGATGACACACTTCGACAGGCATAATACCGTAGTTCTACGGCAACATGAAGATCATTTAAACATGATTTTCTTTGACTGTCTATGACTTTTTCACAGTGCTGTACATTTGCGTTAGTAGGGCTAGATACGTGAATACGGTGTGTCTCCTGCTCCTTTGCGTTAAACGCGAGGTAGTCAGACACTGGCCGGCCCGCTGTCCCGCTGACTCCGCCTGCCATTGGCGCTGACCCACGCAGGACGGCCGGCTGCCACACCGTGATGCGGGGCCCCGAGGCGCCGGGTCCTGGGGCCGCAGCTGCACGCCCTGCTTACCCGCACGCAGCACAGGGCCCCTTAAGCCTTAGCACACCTGCAATCCCCCAGCTGCGGCTCGGTCCGGCCCATTCTCAGGGTGTCGGCTTACGGTTTCAAATGGTCCCTGAAACGCTGGACACTAAGGCCCACGTGCCTGTCAGCCGTGGGGCCGGGGAGGGCATACGCCCATAGGAGGGGCTGCTTAAGGGAAGGGGGGGGGCAGTGCTGCAGACGAGCTATGGCCCCACGGTGCTGAGGAACGACACACATGCTCACTCAGTGCATGTCAGGCTTCCTCGTCACGTGTCACTCAGTCCTCATGTAATGCAGCGGAGAACTATTCGTCAAAACTCCGCAGAAGTATCCCATGGACTGCTCTTCAATTGGATGGGAGTCCATGATGCACTATTAAGTCAGTAATTACCAATTGGCAGTGGGTAGTTCAGGTCCAGAAAGTAAAAATCCAGGCCAGGATTTTATTTCAACCAACCAGTTGAATATAAACAGTCGCCGCCACAGAGTACAGACAGTAATCCATGTCAACGTCTATAGGTAACAGTGGCAACATAAATGGGAAGAAGAATGACAGAACCAGGGTGGATGGGGAGGGGGGGGGGGTTATTCAACGAGCAGATGGGTGTTAAAACTGTGCATAGCGGTGGGGGCCACTTAACAGGGCAACGGGCTGGTTATACCGCACCGGGGCGTTGGTACCACTGTACAAGAGGGGGTGTGTGTCGAGGGGCCCGTGCTGGGGTACTGATGGGGTTCCTGCTGTGTCGCCGCCCGCAGAGGCCGAGGAGCTCTACCAGAAGCGGGTCCTGACAATCACCGGCATCTGCGTGACCCTGCTGGTGGTGGGCATCGTCTGCGTCGTCGCCTACTGCAAAACCAAGTAGGTGGGGCGTGCGGCCGGGCCGGCCAGAGTCCCTGAGGGGGGAGTCAGTCTCCCGTGAGGCCCCAGCGTTCCTCCGCTAGAAGGAGCTTTATGGATTTCGGAAATCACCTTGTAGTTAGTCCACCCTGCCCCGGGGGCTTCTGCGCAGGCAATCGCAGTGATTTAATGCGCTCTTCGGGGATATGGATTTATGCCTGCGGTCCAATTAGCTCATTCAATCCACATGTCATGGCGACGCTCCGCACGCGTGTGATTAACGGGCCGAGTGACGGCCTCCTCGTGCCCGAGCCGCTGCTGGGCCTGACCCACGCTGTCCTCCTTCAGGAAACAGAGGAAGAAGATGCACAACCACCTACGGCAAAACGTGTGTGCCGATCATCCCAACCGCAACCTGGCCAACGGGCCCAACCACCCTGGCCCAGGCCCGGAGGAGATCCCCATGGTCGATGTGAGTCATTGTTTCTACAAACGAGGCAGTCTACGTCTTATCAGGCCTGCTCCATTATTTGTCAATCAGTATCTAATGTACAACAGCTTTTCTGTGTTATTTTGTTTAAGATAGTTAATGGTTAATCTGTAATATAATGGTTCCCAGGTCTCCTCTCTACTTAAGTAGCATCCTAAAGCATAGCTAATGGACTTCTACTGTGAACAAACTCCAGCTGTTTAAATCAGACAAGTCGTACAACTTTATTAGCAGACCGGCTTAGGAGCAATAAGAAAAATATAAAAGACGCTTATTAAGTGACTGTCACTGTAAAGGTGAGGATACACAGGGCAACTTCTTGAGCAATGTTGCCAGGCAACTGCCAACCATGTGAGACAAAACAAGTCATCTGGATGATCGTGAAAAGTTGCCAGCTGCCGATCGAAGTTTTTCAAGTAGAAATTTGCTGCTCAGAATCAATGGGAAAGTGCCCAAGCTGCACTTTTCAGCAACATCAGCCGGCAGACAGCTTGATGTGGATCAGCAGCAGATTCCCCAGCCCTGGTCAGGGAGCAGCCCTGTGGCTCCACGTTGTGACAGCTCTGGCTCTGAGAAGATCCATGTCTGGCTTTCCCTGATAAAAGTCCTCTGGCCTGGGTCCAGCCACAGTTATTCAACAGCTCTGTGCTGCAACGCGAGACGCTAAGCAGTGAGATGGTAGCAGACACTGTGAACACACTGACGGCTACCTGTGGTGCTTCCGTGCCTCCCGCTTTGTGAGGCAGCTTAAGTCATACTTAGCGCTAATGCACTCACGAGCCAATGTCTGCCCAGTCCCACCCGCTGTTGTTCTTTTGTAGCGACGCATTCATTTCTTAGGCTAGTTTAGGGATGAACACGCCGTCCTATTTATGATTGCGGCGTAGCGTGACTCACAGCGATGTAAGCGTAGCCAAATTGCCGGCGGTTATGGCACATAGGGTGCCCAGGATCCTAGCTGAGGACGCCCTGCACCGTCCCCGCCCACAGGTTCGAAACAGCAGGCGCCGCCCGCACCCCCCCCCAGCTCTCCTCAAATCGCTCACGGTGCNCCCCCCCCCCCCCCCAGCTCTCCTCAAATCGCTCACGGTGCAGCTCTCTCTATTGCAGTACATATCAAAGAACCTTCCGGCGACGGAGCGCGTGATACGGCACACGGCGGAGACATCCTTCTCCGGCAGCCACGCATCTTCCAGATCTCACCATTCGTCGACCGCCACACACTCCTCCAGTCACAGGTAACCCCGCCCTCTTGACCGGGACGTGGATGACTCCTACCCGGCATCCAGGCACGGGGTGGGGGTTGGGGGGGGGGGGTGACATCCACGCATCCAGCCTGGAGGCCCCCGTGGCTACAAAACAAACAAACAGAAAAATCAGACACATCTGTCATTGTGAGGATGTTCAGCCAAAACAGCAACCCCACCCACATCCAGCCTCTCTCACAAATACCCCCTCACCTTTGCACGCCTCCCCCAGCGGGCTCCTCCCAGATTTGCTGTTGCTGGCAGCGATGCCCGGTGCCAGGGTAACCGCTGGCTGCGTCGCTCATGCAGCTCACGCCGTCGATGACCACCCAGAACCAGGGGAACGCGGGGCCAAGCACAACGTTTATTCCGGGTGTTGAATTTCAGCCTGCTCAGTAGCTTTCGGGAAGGTAAATACACAGACAGTGTGAAAGTCTTAAAGGAAATTCAGAATAATCGTTTTTTTGTTCTCCAACTGGATAACAACATAGTGAGATACGGGAAATGGATTCGCGTTCCTCAAGGTTTTAATACAGCGATATCGCTGCTGTAGTTGTGCTACGTCGACTTCATAAATAGATTTTTTTCACCTGCCGTCCTCTCAGATATTAAAGCTTCATCTTATTTGGCCTCTTGAGCCGTGACAGGAGAGCGGCCAGTTACGGGGTGAGCCCTGAGAGGGTGGGGTCGCCGGGGGCTTGACGTCGCCAAAGAGGTGGCACGAACACTGCATAGTCACATTGAAGACACACAGTGGCGCCATGGTAACGGAATCGCTCCCGCGCTCGTGAATGCAGCTGTGTTCTCTTCAAAGAGCCCCATTAGAAAAGAAACATTGTACATAATTGCGCCCATTTATGGTGCCGTGCTGCTAGCTACTGCCCCGCCCACCAGGCCCCGTGTTCCAGCGCACCCCCGACCTCCTGACATTCCCATACCGGCCCCGTGCTTATCCGAGGAGCGCCTTTCCGCAGACGCGGGGGATTGCTTTGCCCCCCCCTCCGCTGGACAGGCCCTCCCCTGCCTGTCTATCAGTGGTTTATATCTCTCGTCCCACAGAGAGTGAGATCATTTGTTACCAAATAAGAGTTTAAGCCAGTCGCTCGTCCAGCGTGACTCAGGATGTTGTCTGGGGAGATTTAGGGCGATACATGTGTGGGAGGGGAGGAGGCCAAGGAGGCACAGTGCTGAGCTTCAGCGCATACAGTCACTGCAAGTGAGTCGCAGTCATTGGAGGAAGGTAGGAAGCTGATGGTGCTTTCAGCTGATGGTGCTTTCAGCTAACACCACTGAGTTGATAAGAAAGGACCAAACATTTTTACATACAAATTCACACGCAACACCTTGTTAGGGAGTGTGACACCTGGCTAGAGGTCCTTATTTAGTGTTTGAGCTGCCGTTAAATACCCAGTATATGTCTGCTTGTATCACATGGATTATTCTGCTGTACAGTAAATTATCGTTTTGCTGGAACAACACTGGGCAAAGTGAATTCCTTACACACGTGAGAATACTGGAGCAGAGACGCTTCTCCAGCAGTGGGGAGCTCTGTGTGTGTGTGTGTGTGTGTGTGTGTGTGTGTGCTTGCAGGTTCTCACATACGCGTGTAAGTGCGTGTGGGCGCATGTGCGAGGTGAGGGTCACAGCATTCTCGCTCTCCCCCGCACAGACACGAGGGACATACGTGGAGCCTGGACAGGACAGGCAGCGCCTTGTCAGGCCCCCCCTCAGGCATGGGGTCATCCTCCGTGGGGACCAGTAAATGCAACAGTCCTGCCTGCATGGAGGCGCGGGCCAGGCGTGCAGCACACTGTGGCATTACTGAGCCCCAGAACCCGGCCTCACAGTACAGGGACTCCTTCGACTCGCTGGGGGACTCTCCGCACAGCGACAGGTGGGACGCCCGCACCGTCCACTATGGCACTGTGCACATTTTAGTGTACACGTTAAAACGCTCGCTTCCATGGCGACCTCCCCCCGCGGGGATGGCCGTGCCAGTTTGAAAGACTTAATGGCACATGTTTGGTTTTCAGAGGGATGAGAGGCAGTGCAGAGGCGGGATGTCACTGCAGAGGACGTGTATCGGAGTAGAGGCCAAGTATGAGATCAGCATACTAGGAAGGAAAGTGTCAAAGCAAAGGGAAATCATCAGAGCGTCAGAGCAGGGGCAGATTATTAAAATAGAGGCGGAGTGTCAAGAGCAGAAGCAGAGTGTCAGAGCAGAGGCAGATTCTCAGAGTAGAGGCAGAGTGTCAACGGAGGCTGATTAACAGAGTAGAGGCAGAGTGCCAGAACATAGGAGGACTATTGGAGTAGAGGCAGAATGATAAAGCAGAGGCAGATTCTCAGAGTAGAGGCAGAGTGTCACTGCAGAGGTAGATTATCAGAGCAGAAGCAGATTACAAGAGTAGAGAACAGTGTCAGAACAGAGGCAGATTATTGTAGTAGAAGCAGAGTTTAAATACACTTCAGCAGGGTGGGGGCACAGATTAAATCATCTTATTTTTGGTGTGCCATTGAACCTTTCAAGCTGCATGTTTCTAATGTGTATATTAAAATCTTCCCAGTGCCATAGTAAACGTGGGGGCAGAGGGAGTGGCCTGAAGTTGGTGTTGGTGGTTGGGGGTGGGCCTGCTTGTACCTCGGGGGACTTTGATGCAGTGCAGCTGTGTAGCACGCCACGTTATATGGGCCGAATATGGGCTTTGCTTACACCCTTCCACGGCGTGAGGGAATGGGACGACCGGACTCAGACGTCATTCTCCTGTATTTATCCATCTCTCCCCCCACGTAATCTCCCCCTCCCCCGCAGGTACGTGTCGGCGCTGACGACGCCGGCGCGCCTCTCCCCGGTGGACTTCCATTACTCACTGCCCCCACAGGTGCCTACCTTCCAGATCACCTCCCCCAACGCCAGCCACGCCATGTCCTTCCCGCCGGCCGCCCACGCCTCCTACCAGCCAGAGGACGACCAGCCGCTGCTCCGCCGCTACCAGGTGCCGCTGCAGGACGCCCGGCAGCACGAACCTTACCGCCAGCGGCGGTACATTGGTGACAGCACGAGCAGCCTGCCCTCCAGCCCGTACCGGCCGGCGGACGATGACGAGTATGAGACCACGCAGGAGTACCTCTCCTCGCGGGAGCAACCAAAGAGAAGCGGGTCAGGCAGCAGGCGCTGGAGGAGGTGCAGGCCCGACGGGCACGTGCTGCGGGGCACCATGCTGGCGCGGGACTCCGGCTCGCGGAGCCACCTGTCGGACAGCGAGTCGGAGGAAGAGGACGGCGAGAGCACGCCCTTCCTCAGTATGCAGAACATGAACACGGAGCCATGCAGCATTTACAGGCCGCCGGAGGCTCGGACTTTCCGGCCGGGCGGGCGAGGAAGCGTGCCCAGCAGACTGACGCAGAGCCGCTCTAAGCAGGACGGCGTGCCCCTTTAAGAAGCAGCTCGCCCCTTTAAGAAGCAGCCCGCCCCTTTAAGAAGCAGCACGCCAATAAGAGTAGACTGTAGACCCGCACCTATAAGAAATATTTTTATTTTATATAACAAACAGATATTCCGAACAAATGAAATATTTATTTTCATTTTAGCAAAAGTTGTCTACTAGCTAACTGCAAAGACATTTTTATAGGGAAAACTATTTATATGTAAATTTTGATTTACAGCATAAAGAACAAGATGTGCCAATTTTTTTCGTAAAGGAAATAGAACAATATTGTGGTGCCTTTTGCTGTATGCCGATGCCAGAGGTCCAGTTCAGTTTTTTGTAGCCTTTCTTATATGGACTCCTATTTTTTATAGAAATGTTTCTCTTTTTTTCTCCTTTGGTCTTTTTTCTTTGTTAGAACTGTGATATTATCGTTTCATCACGCAATATATTCCACCGCGGCATAAGGTGTATGTTTACATGATTATGATTTGCAGGCATGTTCACCTTCATGTCTCCCAGACAGGAAGTGCAGCGGGGTCCTTGTTGTGATACTGCATTCTCGTTACAGTGCTCGTTGCCATGACTCATACCTGTCGGTTGTTCCCTCGCGGGTGACCGGCATGTGCGGTTCCTCTCCAGAGGAGCTGGGTGCGTCACGGATGCGGTGCCCCCTCAGAGAAACGCTGGTTCTGGGTTCTCTGCACGGTTCTGGGTGTGTCGTGTCGGGGTCTTGGGCGGCCCCCCATTCCCTGGGAGTCACAGCCCTGCCTCACCTACAGTCATGGGCCAAGATGCTGCCAGTGTGGGGATCACATCCAGCCTCGGCCTGGTTCTGGCCTGCTTGGATCATCGCCCCCCCCCCACCCCCAGCACCCCGTAATCCCAGCATCCCCACAGCTCCAGCTCAGGGCCACACAGTCTCTCAGGACATCCCATCGGACAGAACTAACTACAACGGGCTCCGTCCACATCCTGGCGGTCCGTGTCCCATCCGAGGTGCGGCGGCGGACTGCGAGACTCGGGGAAGGTCAGAAATGCCAAAATATGCAAACTTTGTATGTAGGTCTGTTTGATGACATCATTTTCTACAAAGTGTGATGACCGCGGTGGACCATGGTCCCTCACGCGATGTCAGGTGTCGGTGTGAATGTAGGCCACCAATTGGGTCAGAGACACGGAACCAACTCCATAAGCACCACGAAACTGCTACTATTATTATTATTATTATTATATTTACGGAAAATGCTATGATTTTCTTAAATCCATTATTTATAATGTTTATTTAGCCTTTTCTGCATCAGTTATCCCTGTTTTGTGCCAGAGCTCGTACCCGGTACCATGATTGTGCACTGTTCGACCCGTCCCTGTCTCAGTGACACCTGTGCACTTCAGAGCCCATTTTTTTCTGTCCAGTTTCAGTCTTAATCGTCGACCAGCAGTGGCAGACCATTATCGATCTTTAAAACTGTACCGAAATCAGAATTGTCGACGAAGCCATTTCACAAGGAAAGGACAATATCCACTGTATTTTTTTCCCCAGTTTGGCAAAACTATAAGAAAAGCATATTTTGGCATTGTGTTTTTATAGTGAATCAGCTGTAAAACAAGTAAGGTAAACATGTGTTTACAGAATATTGACCATTTAAAAACAACCCCCTTGATTGATTCTGAAAAAAAAGAACATTAAATAAGTATTGCTTTATGAGAAAGCAGTGTGTATTGGGAATTATCTTTCAGAAATTATACTACAGTAGGTATGTGTCCATTCTGTCCCTAATTCTGTATACGAATCACTTGATTAATGCAGATGGAGGCACTGTGTTTCCCTCCTTGTTAAATGTAAAATTGCCCCCCCCCCACCCCATTAGAATTCCCTGCACTTTTGCCCAGAAGGTCTCTTTTCATGTGATTTATTTTTTTTATCTCATTGCCTGACCTTTTGAGCCCTCTAGCCCCCCCGCATGCCCTTGTGGTCCAGGTACAGTAGATGGGTACATGGTAAAGAACAGAAACCAAAATGTTCTCCATTCAGTGAAAGTGTGTCTCATTTAACATTAAGCAATAAATCCATTCTCCATGTTCATTCTGGATTAAAAAAAAAGAAGATTGAAAGTTTTGTCATAAAAACTTGTAAAAACAAAACCATCCCACCTGTTCGTATAGATTAAAATAAATCTTTATTCATACCATTTTAATACAGTGTTGTCATCTATATTTCCTACGATTTGCCTTGTGTTTGGGAAGCGTATGTGAGGAGTGAAAATGAGGGTGTCTGATCTGTTACCTCTGAGTCAGGCCGTGTAATACTGACTGACGCCGATCCGTCAGCTCTGGCACCGTGTCCATGGTCTACGTTTGACCTTTAATGTCGGCTGGCGCTGCCTCGGGGATCTTGCCCCCTCTGACTGACATTGTGGGCCTGACACTTGTTGGTGGATCTTTGGTCTTTGCTTTTACTGTAAGTAAATGCATCTTTCTGAAAATAAGGTGTTCGCTTTTATAAAGAACGTCTTACGAACCAGTCCCGGGAGAACCTGCATATGCTGTGACGGGGATCATATGTCCCAAGCAAAGGAGACATAGTGTAGGGACTCAAGAGGGGAGGGTTACAGTCACCCGGAGTACCAGAACAAGTGAGCAAGCAAAAAGCAGGAGCGAAGAGCGGAGCAGTTTCCCGATGTGAGTCACGTTTCCACTGTCTTGCCGTGTTTGAAAACAAGTTCTGGTACATTCATTCCTGCAGAGTGAATGTCGCTCTATCGGTCTGTTTTTTGTGACTTAACATTTTCAGCAAAGCGTAAGCCTCCGTCTAAGCACCTTCCACACCACTAATCCGGTGCAGGGTCATACTGAATCCGGAGCTTATTACAGAGCACAAGTGGGGGGGGGGGGACACCCTGGATGAGAGGCCAGTCCATAGCAAAGCTCACACTAAGGTTCCGCGTAGCCAAACCACATGGCTTTGAACTGTGGGAGGAGAACCTCAAAAACGACGTTGAGAACATACAAACTCCACACACAAAGCTGGGATTGAAACCCCTAACCTCGAAAGTATGATGCCATCGAGTCACCCTATAAAGCAAACATTTAAATCCAAAACATCCATCGTTTCATCCACCCCCCAGCCGCTTGTCCTGGTCAGGGTTGTGGGAGGGCCTGCAGTCTGTCTAATTAAAAACAAATTAACATTTATTCAACACTTTTATCCAAAACCACTTACAATAGGAGAGAGGGCTACAATTTATACCTGCTCCATGGGATTTGACCCCACAACCATTTCTTTGTTAGGGCAATGTGCTACCTGTTGAACCACACAAATAAATGTGTTGGCGATGGACAGAATGGCAGTTCATCAAATTTATGGCATGAAATAAGTGTGTGTTGACTTATTATGGATCATTTCTGTTTTGTATCTTGCGAGAAGGTAACATGTATAAGCAGAGCAGCTGGAGAGAGTTGGCTCTGAACAGGGCAGTGCTCTGAGCTGCTGAGGGATACGCTGGAATCATCTGGATTGCATCGCTTCTTGACCCAGTGACCCTTGATCACTATCTGTTTTATGTTCCCCTTTGTGCTGGCCGGCCATTCCCTTCATGCTCGCATCCGAACCATGTGTCCCACTTTATTTTATGGCCTGTCAAGTAATCTTTGAGTAAACTAATATATCCTGCGTGCAGTTGAAAGAGAGACATTTTTACAGCAATCTGCTTGTGTCTATTTTATGTCCCCAGCACAATATTCATAAGTCCAGAAACACCCGTGTGGTTAAATAGACTCCCTATAAAAAGATCATGTACTTAATTATTAATCAATTTTTTTTAAATCGCATTTTTCGATCTGCATGCTGAAGGAGATCCCAGTGGAATGCCGGAAAGGAAAAACTTGAATAGACTTTTCCTTTTTTTTTTTAGTTAGGTGGGTATTTTTCAGCTGTTTTATATGGAAAACATACTTAAAGTTTCCGAGGAATGCAGTGACTGTATTTTCGCAGCAGCTGAAGTGTTAAGATCAATTTGGCATTCTGTGCGGGAGCCCCAACACATCTGCTCTGCGGTTACTCCGCAATGTCAAAGCCCTTGCTAAGTAAGTCCTAGGGAACATTATTCTAAACACGGTGTAAGGGGACCTGCTCACGCTCCTTCGAAAAGAATGGTTTACGCGGCCTGACTGCTGGCTATTGCTTTTAAAAAGGATAGCACTTCATTAAGGGAAAAAAACTAAACGTTAACGAGTACATATTAGAACATCGTCACCACTGAAATTTCTCCTTATATGAAAATGCACATATTAATGCTATAAATTTTGATTTCTCTGAGCGTTGCTATGTTGATGATTAAGTGTTGTTCGATTAGCTCAGTTTTTAAGATGCACATTACATTGGCCAGTACATTTAAGGCATATTTTCCTTTAAGTTTTAAAAAGTAAGAAGCTTTTATTTTGTGCTCGACGATTTCCACCACATTTCTCATCATGCTGGGGACATACTGAGAGTTAATTTCGCTTGGCTAATGAATCAGCTGCCGCTCACTATTTAATGAAGTAAAGCACTCAAAAACAGCTACAACAAAGATATTTAAATATCAAAGTAAAAGATACGATGAAATAGCTTTCCAAGGGAGAGTGAAAATGTCCCCCTACCATATTAATGGTCTCCTTAATTACACCCTAGCATGGTATCATAACTCCACACCCAGGTGCTACATGTATTTGTCAGAAAACAAGATTTATGATTTCTTAAGCATAAAAAAAACATAATTTGCATCTATACGTGTCAGTGATTCATTCGTATTTCGCTTTCTACAAAGTCCGTCATATGGCATGTTGTTTATGATGTTGGGTTTTTAATGGAGCATAAAGCACTGTCTTTCAGGACAAACTTCCCAAAGTCAAATGGAGATAAAATCTGACGGTTCCTGCCCTTCGCTTATGAACTACACAAAGCATCACGACAATCGTTTGCACAGACCACATCACACCCCACATGCCCCGTGTCTGCTTTGGAAAGACGCGGGCAGACCGCCAGCCCCCTGCTGCTCCTACTGGCTTTGGGACACCAAAAGCAGCAGGGTTGGAGAAGGTGCCCCCCCACAACGGCGCCCAGTGCCCAACAGCCTCCGCACGACGCCTTCCCATGTCTCATTCTGCGTTTTCATGCTCAATATGCTCATTAATTAGGAATGAACTTTTCATACCTTGCCAAAATGTCTGTGAAGACATTTTCCTGTACTGCTTTATTGGAAATATAAATTACATATTGTATGTTACGCAGTATTTCTGTATTGTATGTTCTAACGTCGGCTGCTCTCAGCATCAAACCCCACCATAGCTACCATGTATTAACAAGGGTTCAACAGCCCCCCAGTGGACAATAGGGCACAAGACGTTTCCACACTTTTTTGGACAAAAATAGGCTGAGTATCTTGTTCAAGATTCCAGCAGCTTGGAATACGGGAGAATAATTAACCGCTGGGCTGCATTATGCTGCCACATAGTAGCATTTGGAAAACAGGGATTACATCATAATATACTTAAGGACTTCTATTTAAGTGGTATGGATTAGAACATTAATTACCTGCACATGACTGCCCCCTACTGTACATCACAAGGCAAGAAAAAAAGAAACGACGCAAATCGAAGGTGGCAGGTGAATGCACCTGACCTTTTTTAAAAATAGATTCCGCATAAAGGGAAGATTTGATTCCAGATTCCCTTAAGCCAGACCCTCTGACCTTGGCTTGTGTGAAAAGATGTTAATTGACAAGAAGGCGATAGCGCACAGCTCCAGGCTGAGGGATAGACAGGGCCTATTATGCTACATCTGCAGTCTGGACAAAAGGCTGTAGTAAATACTGTCTTGAAGAGCAGATCTACAGATAAGGCTGCACCCCCAGGGACAGCAAGCAAGGCACTCTGCTGACCTCAGGCAAATGCACGGTTCAGTCGACCGATTTCCAAATGGCTTGCAAATGGCTCGCTGTCTAATTCTAATTGAGATTAACTGCTCTATGGGTTGAACGTGTCGGCAAAGATTTATACCGCCTTTGCTGTGGTTGTAGTCATTCCCCTGAAACTATAAATTTTTCTTGAAATACACAAGCCTTCAATAAAGTCGGCGTGGCGATTGGATTTTGGAGTCACATCAAGTGAGAGTGATGACAGAAAAAATCCTACATTGTGTATCAGTGGTGTTTTATCACCTTGACTTGGCCGGCCAGATCTGATAAACTCAGAACTAATTGTTACCGCACCGCCAGGTTATACAGCCAGAACGGTGCAATTGGCCAGACAGAAAATGATGTTAATATTACAGACTATGGTCGTTTACTCTGTTATTTTTAAATGCATAACCTCACAGCCTACAAGGTAAGAGAATACAGTTCTGCTTTAATGTTTGATATATGACAGTAGAGCACAATCTGGAGGAGAATCTGCATTCTGTGCAGAAAATGCAGTGATCAAAGGTATTGCAAATGCTGTATTTTACTTTGCCCTAGCAAGCTAAATTATCGCACGGCATTTCCTGTGGCTTTCTGTTATGCTGGCACACGAAACAGTGTGATTGTGCTCATTTTCACATGTGTTCGTCCAACATCAAGATAATCTGTGTGACGTGTAGATTTACCAGTGGCCAAATACCTTAATCAGAGGTGCTGGAATATAAGTTAAGCAGCTCAGAGGAGCTCAGTCTGGCCCCAAAGCACCCAAGGGGAAATCAGGCCGATTGGCAGAATTCCATGTCATTACTTTTCATGGAATCATTTGCTTACAGTCACATCCTGAAATATTTAGGTTCGGAGTAGTTGCTACTTGGCCAGGATCAGGAGTTAAACATGTTTCTGGACCAGAGTCCGTAGCTAGAGAGAGGCCAGAAGAGGGGAGTGATGTGTGCAGGACACCGAAATGTAGTAAAGGGAGATGGGCTACAGGAGACTGTACACATAAGTGAGGGGAATGGGATCCATGCAGGAGGGGACTGGGAACCAGTCAGGGGACCAATATGACAGCATCCATCCATCCATTTTCTGTCAATGCTAATCATGTTCAGGGTTACAGGGGGTTTGGAGCCAAGGGGTGCAAGATACAACCTGGGGCGCGATTCACGTACACACACACACCTACGGACAATTTGGTTACTCCAGTCAGCCTCAGCGTGTTTTTGAACTGTGTGGGGGGGGGGGACCCCATGACGACACGA